GCCCTTCACTACCCAAAGGAGTCTCAGAGCGGCTTACAAACTCCTTTCCCTTCCCCCTCCCCACAACAGACACCCTGTGAGGTAGGTGGGGCTGAGAGAGCTCTGACAGAAACTGCTCTTTTTCAAGGACAGCTCTTATCAGAACTATGGCTTGCCCAAGGTCATCCAGCCAGGTACAAGTGGAGGAGCGGGGAATCAAACCCGGTTCTCCCAGATTAGAGTCCGCGCACTTAACCACTACACCAAGCTGCCTTGTTCTGTTCCTGACCAGAGGATCCCATTTTATCCTTCCAACGAGGCCCGTGAAGTAGGTTGGATTGAGTGAGTCGTTCCCCGAAAGCCATCAAGAACTTTCATGGGCGACTGGGAATTCTGAGCTCTCCTTTGGCTCTCCAGTGGGATATCCGCCCAAAAGTAAACACTTAATGATTAAACAAACGATTAACACAAGGAAATAGTTTATATTAAATTAAAGCCCAGTGAACTATGGGATGCCAGCCTCCAGGTGGGGCCTGGGGATCCCCCGGAATTACAGCTCATCTCCAGATTACAGAAATCAGTTCCCCTGGAGAACATGGAGGCTTTGGGGGGTGGACTCTGTGGCATTTGTACCCCACTGAGGTCCCTGTTTTCCCCAGGCTCAACCCCCCCAATCTCCAGGAGTCTCCCAACCTGGATCTGACAGCCCTACCCCTCCACCCCTTGCCAGTAGCCAGGTAACCCTATAAATTATGTGCAATGATCTTACTTAAAACATTATTACAACAGCACTGAGTTTCACACGTACCGTCAGGTTAACAATACTCAACAACATGTGCCATTTATTTGTTTATTAAGTAGGGCTATTTTGGGGCAGGAACGCACAGGAACGGAGTTCCGGCTGGCTCCTGAGTTGGCCATGCCCATCAGGAACTCATTAGCATAATAGGCCACACCCAACAGCAGAAACTCATTATGATTGGCTACATTAGGGGTGTGTGGCCTAACATGCAAAGGAGTTCCTGCTACAAAAAAAGGCCCTGGGTTTTGACAACAAACAAGGTAAACAGAATAAGAAGCAAAAGGTGGGTGTGGCTGGATGATCATACTTCTGGTAATGCGGGTGTGGCCTAATATGCTAATGAGCTATGCTGTCGGGGTGTGGCTGGATATGCTAATGAGTTTCTGTTGTTGGGTGTGGCCTATTATGCTAATGAGTTCCTGCTGGGCTTTTTCTACAGAAAAAGCCCTGTTATTAAGTATGCTTTTATTCCACTTTTCTTTCTGATAGGGACCCCAAATGGCTCGCAAAAATACTCTTCCAAACAAATTTACATAAACATAGTATAAAAAACAAAACATGGCAAAAAGTTGACCAAACCCAATCCCAGGTTGGTGTCCAGCAGGTTAATTGATTTGGATAAGGCTACACGTTGTGATCGAAGGGCTACAAGCCAAGAGCTCGTGGGCTCCTGCCCTTTGTCTCACATCCTTAGCTACAGTGTTCCCTCTAAGCTGAGTGTGAGCTAGCTCACAGTTTTTTAGCCTCCAGCTCACAGGTTTTTGTCTGTGACGGATGGCTCCAGAGCTAATTTATGCAGCAGCCAAATCACTCGTTCACAACTTTAATGGCAGTAGCTCACAAAGTAGGATTTTTGCTCACAAGACTCCACAGTTTAGAGGGAGCATTGCCCAGGCTAAATTCCTGCAGCAGGGGAGACAGAAGTGCTTGGCCTAGATGTCTCAAGCTGGTGGCCATCTTCCCTCCCTTCTTGCTCTTGCTGGATATTTAGGTTAGACTCCAAAGAGCCCTGAAGGCATGCATTAGAGTTTCTACGTGTAGAACAAGCCTCTCCTGGTTCCTCTCAATCTCAGTTCCCCATGGCTGTGTCTGAGGCTGAACAACACAAGAGGGCGCTTTGGAGTCAGGAGCCCCACAACCAGAGTTGCACCTGTAGAGCTTCCTACATGCTTAGGGTTCCCGTATTCTGAAAAGCCAATAAGAGGACATACCGTATTTTTTGGACCATAAGACTCACTTTTTCTTCCAAAAAAAGTGGGAGGAAAAGTGAGTGCGTCTTATGGACCGAAGGTTCAGAATATTTTTTCCCCTGTTTTCCTCCTTTAAAAACTAGGTGCGTCTTAAGGTCAGGTGCGTCTTATGGTCCGAAAAATACGGTATTTCCTGACTGACTACTTCAGTGATCATTGCTACAACCTAGGAATATTCTTTGCTTCCAAAAGAGGACATTGTTATCAGTTAAAAGAAAAAGAAAAGAACCCAGAATAGGACGGATACCAAAAAAGAGGACATGACCTCTAAGAAGAAGACCTCTGGTAACCCTGGAACATGCAGCTTTCAAATGTCACCTGAAGTCCAATTAATGTCAGTCCATTATAAGTGCAGTTTTGTCTTGGAACTGCACTTCCATCTCCAAGACCCAGAACAGAACAGGTTTTAAGAGTCTCAGATGTTACTCCTAGCAATGGATGAAAAGGTCTGCATGTCCATAACTGACACTGCAACCTACCTCCTTGTAATTCTGCTTTGCAGAATCACAACACAGGTCTCCGGGTTGTCAAGAATATGAATGTTATATACTGAATTCAAATTCACAAAAGTTATGTCTTATTGTTAACAGCCTTGCTCGAGTTTTGCGAATGGAGGGCCCTGGCTTTCGTTATGGAGTCAATCCATCTCTTCTTGGGTCTCCCTTGTTTCCTGATGCCTTCAGTCCTTCCTAGCATTATTCTCTTTTCCAGTGACTCTGGTATTCTCAGGCCCCAGTCACACGGGCCGGATATCGCAGGGGGGGAGGCGTGGCTGTTTGTCCCAGGGCAAAATAACACGCGGTTGCACCAGCAGACGTACCGTGGAGGTCCCGTGGAAGGGAGAGGTGCCGAGCACACCACAATCCTGCGCGCCATGGCAAAGAAGCAGTGCGGCAGACGGGTGTTTTGTTTTCTGGACACCAAAGTGTGCGCATGCCCCATTGGGTGCTTGTGCGCATCCCATGGATAGTTGAAAAAAACACACCTTTATACGAGGGGGCATGGGCGGGCGCCAGAACTACCACCGGAAACGCGATCAGATGCCTGCCCTTGCCCCACGGTTACCGGAAACTAGCACCTTCAAGGTACTAGTTTTTAACCGCGCGTCTTCGGTGGGAAGCGTCGGGTTCGCCACGGGAGCTCTACGCTTCCCAGATGTGGCGGTGAGATCGCGCCCGGAAAATCCACCTATCTTCCGTCTCTCTAGCGTGCCTAATGCTCCGTGTGACCGCAGCCATAATATATATACACTTTCTTTTATGTCTTATAGGAATTCATGGACCTTACTAAGAAATATTATCATGCAGAGGCCCAAGAGGTTAATTTCATAACCGCAGCGGACCAAGTCAGAAGCGAGATCAACTTGTGGGTTGAAAGTCAGACTGATCGTAAGTGGATTCATTCATTATTGCCCCAGTAATTACTCAGGTGCTGTTGTTGTGCCATAGTGCTCTTCAAACTGCTTTTAGAGTCAGAGAAGTGGACAAGTTAGAACATTAAGAACCACTCCTTGTCAGACTCGGGTCTGAATTGGGATTTATTGACATTATATTGCTGATGCTAGTTTCGCTTTTGTATTCCTGCCTGCTCGGGGCACATCTGTCTTCCTCTTTGGTTCTTATCTCATGCCCTCATTGCCATGACATTCCTGAGGGGGGAGTGAGTGAGTGGCTGTTTGTTGTAGTATTAGGGATGCGCCGCTATAATTGTAACTCTTCTTGAAGCAGCCCCCAAGGAGTGCCTGGGTTTTCACACGGGAGTGACCTTGGGCGAAGATAAGACTTTGGGAATAGCTAGTACGGTCCTATATCTTTCAGAACCGTTAGTAATGCTGGTGTGTGTGACGTATGTGTTGAATGTGGGCATTCACCATTACTTTCCATCTCCCGCCCTGGACTCGCCAGTCCTAACAAGGAGGTTCACCTCTACAGTTGACCAAATCTTTCCAATAAACTTCTTTGAGTAATATTGAGTGAAGACTTGTTGTCTAACATTTATGAAACAGAGAGCTTTGGCACCACTATAATATCTCCTGAAGAAGATTCATTTTTTGAAATGTTGTTATGTAATCCGGAGACGACGTTGTGTATCATGTTATAGTGCTTTAGATTGCAATACATAAACAGCATTCTTTATAAGTCTTATGACTGTTTGATTGTGGGTCAGACTATCACGACTGTTGGCTTTGTTCAACTCACTGAGAATCTGACACTCCTAAACTTACAAAATCAAAGTGATTTATACAAGCTTTAGATAAACATGAGGGAAGGAGAGTACTCTTTGGATTTTGATAATGATTAATTTTGGAAAAGAAAAACCTGTGTAGCAAAACGTATTTTCCTAATGTAATGTGTGAAGCGGTTGATGGATTGGATTTGGGTTAAAACAACAACAACACATAATAGTCCTTTGAGTTTCAGCTCTCAATTTGAGGCTTAATGATTGGCCTGTTATCATGGGATTTGGCCTTGGAGACTCTTTCTGCTCGCTGGGGTAGATAAGACACCATGTATCTATCAGGGTTGTCATAGAAATGCTAGTTATCGAGTGCTGATGTATGCATGGAGTGTGGGGTGTATTGGATTTTTCCTATTTACTTACCTATTTCGTGTGCTTTCTTTTTAAAAAAATAATATTTCTTTATTATGTATACACAGATAGACAAACGAAAAATATACATAAAAACATGGGGTATTCATTTCACATATTATCTAAGAATTTTGCCTTGTCAATACTATTCATTAAGTAACCTTATCTTTTATACAGGATAGAAAGATGTTAACAATATCTTTTCTTGGGTTTTAATTACCTGACATTTTCAAGTTATCATAGTTTCCAATCCAACTATAGAACTTGGCCCAAGTATTTTCATAGATTTCTTCTGCTCGGTCCTTTAAACATAATGAAAGTTTATCAATTTATCAATTTCTGCTACTTGAAGTATTTTGTTAACAATATCTCTTTTAGATGGCAATTCTGTTGTCTTCCAAAACTTAGCATATAATATTCTGGCAGCAGTTACCACATGCAATATAAAATATAAATCATTCTTTTCACATCTCTCTGGTATTATATTTAACAGAAATATTTCTGGAATAAAGGGTATAGGAATTTTAAAGGTTTTTTGGATTATTTCGTGCACCCCTATCCAAAACTGTTTCGCCTTTTCACATTGCCACCACATATGGAAGAAAGACCCTATTTTAGTTTGGCATTTCCAACAAGTATTGGGACATTTTGGGTCAATTTTTGACATGCTATCTGGGGTGAGATACCATCTGTGGAACATCTTGTAGATGTTTTCCTTATATGTTGTTGCTCTTGTAATTTTTAAGTTCCTCTTCCAGATTTGTGACCACTGATCTAATTCTATGTTGTGAGCTAGATTTTGTGCCCATTTTATCATTTTTTGCACGCTTTCTTCAGTCCTGACAAAGAACCAGTTCCTAAATGTAAGCATATCTCTAATAAAGCATCACTGCTAATACTGTTGTGGAGAGTGTCTTAACTGGGGATCTGACACTCCATAATAAAGCCACCCAATATTTGCACTGTTATAGCACTAGAAATCCTAATTCTATTCTTGTCTCTTTTTTCCCAAAGGCAAAATCAAGAATCTGCTGCCTAAAGGTGCTGTTAATTCTGAAACTGCAATGGTTTTAGTAAATGCCATTTACTTCAAAGGAAACTGGGAAAACAGATTTAGGGAAGAACAGACCACTAATGCAGATTTCAGACTAAGCAAGGTATGCAACAGGGACACATTTTGTTGACGTCTTGAACCTGTTATTGGTAGCTCCACACAAAATCTTTCATACAAATATGATACAAGGAAAGCCACTAAGGCACCATTATTGAACAGGAGATTTATAATGCAATCTGAATTATACTTTCCTGAGAGTAAACCCCATTGCTTTGAATTCAGTAGGATTCTGAGTAGACCCACTTAGGATTGCACAGTTAAGGTTTTATTATTCTGGGTTTTTAAGTTCTATTTTTAATGGACTCGAAGCTGATCTCTTGGAAAGCAACTCTTGCTTAAGAAGAACTACTGCAATGAATTTTGATTGAATCTGGTAGGGCAGCTCTTGTAAAGCGTGTCTTAACTGCTATTAATATTCACGAGGACCTTTTTTTTTTTTTTGGAAAAAAGAATATAACAGTATAAGTTAAAGAGAGGTTCTTCAAGAGGAGAAAGCCCCTGCCTTTTATAATTCCTGCAGACAAACTAAATTAGATTAAAGTTGTTGGAGGAGTTACAAAGAAATTTAAATTAACACTCCGAATCATATGATCATATTCTCGTAGTTATATTCATTAATTTCTATAGTTACATATTTACTCGTTATTATATGATAGTATAAACCTTGTATAAAGATAAGAAAAATGTTTTTAAAATTCTTCTCTTATGTTCCTTGCCTAGATGCTTTTTAAACCCAGCCCTACAGATAGGAAATAATGGAAATATACATGGAAATACATTATGTTGAAGTATTGATTATCTTACCACATTTTGACGTGTCATGTTATTTTTTCATGTTTCATATTCTTATATTATGCAATGTCCTTAAAATGCATTCAACAAATGATGTTTTATGCTTCTCACTTTCCCTTTTGTCCCTTTTTATTCTGTACCCCTTTAAATGGTAAATTTAAAAAAAAAATAAGAAAAGAGGAGAAAGCCCTTGACACCATCTACTGGATGAGGCCATCAAAACACAAGGAACCTCCTGTTCATAGGAGAGAGCAGAAAATAATCCTAATGTTTTAAGAGTTAGAGCTTTCAACTGTCATCCAATACTATGAAAACTATGTAGAGAACCTTATGTTTTCAAAGAGAAGTACATAAATAAGGAAGCCAGAAGAAAAGCAACTATGAAGCGGTGGATTTAAAAGCAGCAGCAAAACCCTCAGTTGGAATGCCTATCAGTTGCCGGTAATAAACAGTGGTTCTAATGTCCTGGCCCCACTGGTGGACCTCCTGATGGCACCTGGTATTTCTGGCCACTGTGTGACACAGAGTCTTGGACTGGATGGGCCTTTGGCCTGATCCAACATTGGCGTCTCTTATGTTCTTAAATAGCTTGCTATCCAAAAAAAGCCACAGCATCAGCTACACCAGTCACAGTAAGGGTTGGATCCAGCCACCTTTCACCCTCAATCTCACCTACTTCTTCTTACTTTCGTCCCAGATCCTCCTGCGTGCAGTTACAATATCCAAAACACTGATCCTCAGCAAAAGGGATCATTTGCTTTCTTTTTCACCGGTGGAAAAGCTGGTTGGATCTAACCCTATGTTCTCCCCTCCCACTCTAGCAGATCAGACCATCCAGTTGAAAGAATAGGTCACTCAGACAGACTACACATGTGCAGAATACAGACTGCCCACCTGCTGGAATCCAGTCCTGTTCTTGGCAGGGCGGGAGCTCGTCCTTCACTCCCACAGACTCCCAAATTCTCACTGTGGTGAATTTAAAAAGCCACATACCCTGCTGGAGTGCTTAAAACTTCTTTGTCTCCTCGGGATACAGTTCATTTCAGCTGGGAAAAGGAGTAACATGTCTTTTAAACACTATTTCAGACCACGTCAACATCTGTGCAAATGATGTTTCTGAGAGAGACACTCCCAGTTTTCCACATCAGCATCTTGAAGGTCACAATCCTTGAGCTTCCATATGTCAATAAAGAACTCAGCATGCTCATCCTACTTCCTGATGACATCACAGACGAGTCTACGGGCCTGCAACTGGTAAACATTTCTTTTCAAAAATCTAAGGGACTGTTCCTTTGTAAGTGGGCAGTTCTGGGACACTGTTTAGCAAGTAATTCATGTTGTGTATAAAATCAGCAGTAGTGCATGCTATCTGCTAGGACAAATAGTGGAAGCAAGTGTAGCGGGAATACTGAGAAGGAGACCACTAGGAGTCAACAAGGAGAGTCGATAGTTGTCTATTATGCGCCCAGGTACAGCTAAAAGTAGGAGCTGCGGTGGCTCAAGTGGTTAAGACGCTGAACTGCAGGCTGTGGAAGGTCAGTAGTTCAGCAGTTCAAGACCCGGGTGCCGCAAGACAGGGTGAGCTCCTGTCTCTAGTTCCAGCTCCTGCCAACCTAGCAGTTCGAAAGCAAGAAATTGCAAGTAGATAAATAGGGACCACTTCGGTGGGAAGGTAATAGCGTTCCGTGCACCTTGGTGTTTAGTCATGCCGGCCACATGACCACGGAAACATCTTCGGACAGTGCTGGCTCTTCGGCTTTGAAACGGAGATGAGCACCGCAACCCTAGAGTCGGATTCGACTGGCTTTCGAGCAAGGGAACCTTTACCTTTACAGCTAAAAGTACCTCCGGGGGCCCTTTCAAAACAGAGCTGTACCCCGAATGCAGGGTTGAGCAAACTTAAATACTTTTCCCACAGAGTGAAAAAAAATCATTCCTTAGAAATGGCATGCAAGACTATCACAGACATTGACCATGAAACTGGAAGCATTGTGTTCCTTTTCAAAACCACAAACATCCTTGGCTGGTCACATGTCCTAGTTTCCTGTTATCAGCCAGGTGTTAACTTTCTTCATGACAGCAGTAAACAAGTTTCTTAGTAATTAAGAGGATAAGAAGCAGAATTCAGCTCAGCCTTAGTAACAGCCTGGCAATACTTAATATGGTCATGCAATCTTGTGTGTTCCGCAAAAGGCTCTATTTGTTATCTTTGGTTCTCCTATTTGCAAAAGCTATGTTCCCTTAATGATTTGCAAAAGCAAATGCGTTTCCCTAATGGAATGGCCTTATAATGCAAGCAAATTGCAGGTACATGCTTCGCAAGCTTCTGAGAATTCAAAAAAATGGCTGAAAAATAGCCTCTAGAATGCGAAGTTCTAGGAATTTAGCCATGTCACTATGGCCTTTAGCACAGAGATTAGGGGAGATTCCTAGAATGTCACTTGGAAGTCACATTCTCCCCAAACTCCCCCCCCCCCGGCACTGCTTGCACCGCTTGGGAACAGTGATCATAATGTTGTTGAGTTCAACATTTGTATAAATAGGGAATTGGCCAAAAAGACTGACATAACCACTTTTAACTTTAAAAGGGGTAACTTCTCTGATATGAGGGGACATGTGGGGAGGAAACTGAAAGGAAAAGTAGAAAGGTTCAAAACCATTGAGGAAGCTTGGAAACTATTTAAAACTACGATCTTAGAAGCTCAAAAATATATATATATTCCGCAGGTTAGGAAAGGCACAAAAAGGTATAGGAAAAAGCCTGCATGGTTAACAAACAAAGTAATGGAAGCTGTAAAAGGTAAAAAGGATTCCTTTAAGCAGTGGAAAGCTAGTCACAGTGAGGCTGATAAAACGGAACACAGGCTATGGCAAATAAAATGCAAGTCTGTGGTCAGGCAGGCAAAAAGGGAATATGAGGAGCATATAGCAAAAAACGTAAAAACCAACAAAAGCCCCTACCACCCGGGGGGGGGGGAAATACGCGGCTAAAGTGCGGCTTTTGGAAGCCGCATCAAAATAGACACGCCGCGGTGGGATCACACGGATCCCCTGAGCTGCGGCACCATTGCTCCCCGGCACGATCAGATGCCGGGGAGGAAGCCACGGTCAAGAAACTGAGGCAGCCGGCTGCACATGCGTCTGCATGCGCAGTTCGGCCAGGAGCTGGGGATGCACCGGCAGAAGGACGTGCCGGCAATCCCACGGCTGCGCTTGCCTCGGCCGTTCAGGTAAGACCACCTCTGTCAGTGGTTCGTTTTTGCTGTGGAGTTTCTGGGGTTAGGGACGGATCGGGGATGGGTGCGTGCCACTTCCCAGATGTTGCAGTGACATCGCACCTGTTTGCTGCGGCCCTGATCTGTCCCTCTCCCAGGCCAAAACCCTCCGTGTGACCGGGACAAAAAAAACTTTCTTCAAATACATTAGAAGCAGGATACCAGCCAGGGAGGCAGTGGGGCCCTTGGATGACCAAGGGGTAAAAGGAGTACTGAAGGATGATAGGGAAATGGCTGAGAAGCTAAATGCATTTTTTGCCTCCGTCTTCACTGTGGAAGATGAGAAGTGCTTGCCCACTCCAGAACCACTGATTTCAGGAGGGGTGTTGAAAGACCTGAGTCAGATTGAGGTGACGAGAGAGGAGGTCCTAAAACTGATAGACAACTTAAAAACTGAAAAATCACCAGGCCCAGATGGCATACATCCGAGAGTTCTGAAAGAACTCAAATGTGAACTTGTAGATCTCCTGACAAAGATATGTAATCTTTCCTTAAAATCTGCCTCCATTCCTGAGGATTGGAAGGTAGCAAATGTCACTCCCATCTTTAAAAAGGGTTCCAGAGGAGATCCGGGAAATTACAGGCCAGTCAGTCTGACGTCGATACCGGGTAAATTGGTGGAAACCATTATTAAGGAAAGAATTAGTAGGCACATAGATGAACAAAACCTATTGAGGCAGACTCAGCACGGTTTCTGTAAGGGAAGATCTTGTCTCACTAACCTGTTAGTGTTCTTTGAGGGGGTGAACAAACATGTGGACAAGGGGGATCCAATAGATATTATTTACCTTGACTTCCAGAAAGCTTTTGATAAAGTTCCTCATCAAAGGCTCCTAAGTAAGCTCAAAAATCATGGGATAGAAGGACAAGTCCTTTTATGGATCAAAAACTGGCTAGTTCATAGAAAACAGAGAGTGAGTGTAGGTGGGCAATTTTCTCAGTGGAGGGTGGTAAGCAGTGGGGTACCGCAGGGATCAGTACTTGGTCCACTGCAGAGGTCCATCAGTGGCTATTAGCCACAAGGTATAGATAGGGGCTCTGGGGCAAGTGATGCTCTGTCTTCTTGGTGCTTGGGGGGGTCAACAGTGGGAGGGCTTCTAATGTCCTGGCCCCACTGGTGGACCTCCTGATGGCACCTGGTATTTCTGGCCACTGTGTGACACAGAGTCTTGGACTGGATGGGCCTTTGGCCTGATCCAACATTGGCGTCTCTTATGTTCTTATGCTCTTAAGCACTCCCAGCATTTGCCAAGGCAGAGCTGGAAATAGGCCTAGCCTGGCAAACAGTGGGGGGGGGCATAAAAACCCAGAAGTGACATCACACCTCTTTAGGAATTGCCTGAAACTCTATGCCAGGTATGTCCAACAGGTAGATCACGATCTACCAGTAGATCACGGAGGGGTCAGAGGTAGATCACCAGCCCCACTTGGTCTCCTGGTTTGCTGGAAAGGTGTTTGGGTTTTTTTGTTATAACTCAATAAAAAATAAAAAATGTCCGCAGCTCTTTCTGGATCTTTGTCTATGTTTTGTTTTTGCTTATTTTGCTTACCAGTAAATGACAGAAGGTGCATTATAAATGGGGGGTGGGGGAGCCGGTGGAACCCAACTTTAGTGGGTTAAAATCTAATTTGAAACTAATCTGAAACTTTATTTTCATAGTGGTAGATCACCGGCACTTTTGGCCGGAAAAAAATAGATCACTACCTGTTCGAAGTTGGGCATGCCTGCTCTATGCAAAAACCTTAATTCTTAAACTGACACCACTCCTGAAGAAAAGCTAGAAGTGATGTCAGTCCTCTGTAGGCATTGCCAGAAACATTATGGGTTTAGCATAGTGTTTCTTACTATTCCTAGGGAGGCATAACATCACTTCCACGTTTTCCCTGGAAGTGACATCACATCATAGGCCTGATGGCCATTTATTACACACAGTCCGAAGGGTCCTGCTGATGCGCAGAATGTCAGTAGGAAATGTGAGCCGGCAGCTCTATCTGTGTTGTATCCACAGATACACAGATCACACAGTAAAATCCAGTTGGAAAGTGCACTGAAAGTGGATTATTTAATGTGTGTGATCACCGCCTTTGTATAGCAAATCCAGGGCATTTATACCAAGGCTGTTACCACAGTATGTACTGGCGTAGTGGATAAGAGCGGCAGACTCTAATGGGGAGCCCTGGGTTTGATTCCCTGTTTCCCCTCCACATGAGGCCTGCTGGGTGACCTTAGGCCTGTCTTGGTTCTCTCAGAACTCTCTCAGCCCCACCTAGAGATGTGAAGGCCCGGGGGAAAAAACGGTTTTTTTCCTGAAGCCTTTTTGTTTTTTTCTGAAAAATTGAAAAAAGAAAAGAAAAAAATTGAATATGGAACGTTTTATTTTAACAAGATGAATAAAATATTTTAAGACAAGGTGTTCAAATATTTTCCAAATCATTTCTAATATATATATATATATGGTATCAGATTGATCTAATTTCTGTGCACTGAGGACAAGCAAGTCCTAGGTTACAAACTGAACTCTCCAATGCAAGAACAAGATGCATTTCTTCCTTTAGGAAGTGCGATTTTGTCAGAAGAAAATAAAAAAGTTTGTTTTGTTTTTGCATGTGGATGGGTATTCTGTTTGTAATAATGGTTTGGATACTCTATATTTTTAATATGCTAGTTGTGATAATTTCATGCCAAGTAAAAATGTCCATAGTCATATTTTATGTTCATAAAGTAACAGCATGACTTTCAATCTAGAAAAGACAAAAGAAATGCTAATGTAGCATTTTTTTCAATTTTTCTGAAAATTTCCGTTTTCCCCCCGAAAAAAAAACGGGGGAAAAAAGTTTTTTTTTTCGAGCTTCAAAATTTTTGGAAATTTTACATCTCTAGCTCTACCTGCCTCACAAGGTGACTGTTGTGAGGAAAGGAGAGGGAAAGGGGATTATAAACCATTTTGAAACTCTGTAAGGTTGAGAAAAGCGGGGCATAAAAACCTATTTTTCTCCATGTTAAAGGTTCAGTGCTTCTCATTATACTCTCGTCATTTATTTTCTGACGCACTTTCTTATGTTAACTACAGCTGGAAAAGGAATTAACGTATGAGAGATTATCAATATGGACCAGCTCAGAAATGATGGAGAAAACGACAGTGGAGGTTCACTTGCCCAAGTTCAGGCTAACCGAGAATTATGACCTCAAGACTACTTTAAGCAGCCTGGGAATGACAGACGCCTTCAGCCGAGGTCAAGCAAACTTCACAGGAATGTCCAAGAACAATGACCTGTTTCTGTCAGAGGTGTATCACAAGGCTTTTGTGGAGGTCAATGAAGAAGGCACGGAGGCATCTGCCGCCACTGCAGCCGTGGTTACCACAAGATCCTCCGGGGAGCCTGTGGTATTTAAAGTGGACCACCCCTTCCTCTTTTTTATCAGGCACAACAAAAACAAAAGCATCCTCTTCTTTGGCCGCTTCTGCACACCTTAGATCCAGTTTGGTGTAGTGGTTAAGTGCGCGGACTCTAATCTGGGAGAACCAGGTTTGATTCCCCACTCCTCCACTTGCACTCCTCCACTTGGGCAAGTCATAGTTCTGATAAGAGCTGTCTTTGAAAAAGAGCCGTTTCTGTCAGAGCTCTCTCAGCCCCACCTACCTCACAGGGTGTCTGTTGTGGGGAGGGGAAGGGAAAGGAGTTTGTAAGCCGCTCTGAGACTTCTTTGGGTAGTGAAGGGCGGGGTATAAACCCAATCTCTTCTTCTTCTTCTTCTTTGTTGCCTCTGCAGTTGGAGCAATTCCTAAATGCAATGGTGTCTCCTAAATGCGATGGACTCTCAGATTTAGTGGGGTTCCTTCTGGGTAAACATGTTTAAGAGCAGGCTGAAAATGCTGTGAGTGAATCAGGACCAAGCCTTGTGTTGGTTTTTAGGGGTGGCCTCTCAGCCTTCCTTTTGGAATCTCTCTCTCTTTGATGCCTTCTGTGTTCTTGTTTGTGAGGGTTTGCGGCACACTGGTCTTAACAGTGGTCCCAAATTCAGGCAACCCTGCTTCATACAATTGGTGTGTAAAAGCCATAAAAGTATTTTAAAAAACTGTTATCTCTGCCAAGGGATGCCACTCTAAGTTTCTTTTATGAGGTGTCACATCGCACTGACTGTGGCACATGGTTCCTTAAACATTTTGCAGAGCTCCTCTCAATGTTGTGGTTTACATTTTTGGTTTTAATTAAACGCACTGCGTTCTCGTCCCAGACAGTTCCCCCCCCCCAATTCTCCCATGGCATCTCCATCCTGTAAGAGCCAGTTTGGTGTAGTGATTAACTGCACGGACTCTAATGTGGGAGGGACCAGGTCTGAGTCCCCACCAATGCTCCCTCTAAGCTGTGGAGTCTTGTGAGCAAAAATTCTACTTTGTGAGCTACTGGCATTAAAGTTGTGAGCAGGCGATTGGGCTACTGCATCAATGAGTTTGCTCTGGAGCCCTCCTTCCTGAGCTAAGACAAAAATGTGTGAGCAAGAGGCTAAAAAACTGTGAGCTAGCTCGCACTAACTCAGCTTAGAGGGAACACTGGTCCCCACTCAAACCAGAGTTCTGTCAGAGCTGTCCTTGAAAGAGCAGTTCTCAGGAGAGCTCTCTCAGCCCCACCTACCTCACAGGGTGTCTGCTGTGGGGAGGGGAAGGAGTTTGTAAGCCGCTCTAAGACTCTGAGTGAAGGGCGGGGTATAAATCCAATCTCTTCTTCTCTTAAATGCACAGAAGGGGGGGGGGCATTTAAAAGGAAGGGGATGGAAGAATCACAACTTTTTATTGTACAGCAGGGTGTTCAGTTACTGCAAGTCTTGACACACCTTAAACTCTGAGTTTTTAAGGCATCCCAAGCCTGCGGTGCAGAAAAGAAGTCCCTGAAGGGGGCAGCGAGAAGACAGATAGGACAGTGAGGTCAGCACCTTCTCTTAAGCATCATTCCTTGTCTGTCCCCACTATTCTTAGGGCCATTTCTGCCTTCTTCTCGGATAGTCTACATGCAGGTCCCCCCCCCCCCAGCTAGAGATGTAGTTAGGAACCTAATTCTGTCTCTCTCTGCTTTCCTATCAAATATGTTAGTTCCTAAAGAAACCGTTTGTTGTTGTTCAGTCGCACAGTTGAGTCCGACTCTTCGCGACCCCATGGACCAGATCACGCCAGGCCTTCCTGTCTTCTGCCGTCCTCTGAAGTTGGCTCAATTTCATGTTCGTTGCATCGATGACACTGTCTATGACCTCTCCTATCCCCCTCATGGATCACTGCCTTGTCATGGCGAGGCTGTGGGCTATGCCGTGGAGGGCCACCCAGGACGGACAGGCCACAGCAGAGAACTCAGACCAAGCGTGATCCCCTGGAGAAGGAAATGGCAACCCACTCCAGTATCTTTGCCAAGAAAACCCCATGGGCAGTATCAAACAAACCGTTACCTATTCTTTAATCAGGTTGGGCACTGTTGCTCTGTTAATTCCTCTGCCAACACTATATCCCCTGGCAAAGCCATCGTATTTCTCATTGTGCAGCCCAGTCATCTGCAGGAAGGGCTGCCAACCCCCAGGTGCGGGCTGGAGACACCCCCCCCCCCCGGAATTACGACTCATCTCCAGACTACGTAAATAGCTTGTTCATTTATCATTTATTTATTTTAAACATCTCCCCAACCCCTTCCGCTGGAGAACATGGTCCCTTTGGAGGGTGGCGTGTAGGGTATTATACACTACCGGGGTCCCTCCCCTTCCTAAAGCCCTGCCCTCTCCGGCCCCACCTTCAGCGCTCCATGCATTTAGGGACCCAGAGCTGGCCGACTGCCAAGCACACTGAGCAGAAGGGCCACTGTGCAGTTGAAGTAAACAGTAGGTGGTCGCAGCTGAAAAGAGCCAGACGACGACAGAACTGCAATCTGCAGCGACTGCAGGCGAGACCAGTGGCCGCCAATGATCCCTCTAAGCTGTGGAGTCTTGTGAGCAAAAAATCTACTCGGCCGCCCAGTTGTTCGACCTTCCCGCCTTACCTCGCCTGAGAGCGCCTAAGCGGCTCTCTCGCTGAATCACATGCACGGGGAGCGCCATCTGGTGTTCATCCCGCTATACTGCTGGGTCGATTCCCATCTCTTTAACCTTTGCAAAGCCATCAAGACTTCCCGGGGAGGGGCTTCTGCGTAAGTAGAAAAGAACAAGAGTCCCGTTATACAGGGGTTGCCAATCTCCAGGGGGCACCTGGAGATCTCCCGCTATTACAGTTGAGCTCCAGATGACCGAGCCCCAGTTCCCTTGGAGAAAAGGGCTGCTTTGGCGGTTGGACTGCGGTCCCGCCCCTCCCCAGACCCGCCCTGGCCGGGTTCCCCGCCCAGCATCTCCAGCAATCCATTTCCAACCCAAGTCCAGTCACACCTTAAAGACTAACACCATTTGTGAGCCAGTTTGGTGTAGTGGGTTAAGTGCGCGGACTCTAATCTGGGAGAACCAGGTGTGATTCCCCACTCCTCCACTTGCACCTGGCTGGATGACCTTGGGCGAGCCATAGTTCTGATAAGAGCTGTTCTTGAAAAAGAGCCCTTTCTGTCAAGAAGTGTCCCAGCCCCACCTACCGCACAGGGTGTCTGTTGTGGGGAGGGGAAGGAGTTTGTGAGCCGCTCTGAGACTCCTTTGGGTAGTGAAGGGCGGGGTATAAATCCAATATCTTCTTCTTTTACCTCACAGGGTGTCTGTTGTGGGGAGGGGAAGGGGAAGGAGTTTGTGAGCCGCTCTGAGACTCCCTTGGGGAGTGAAGGGCGGGGTATAAATCCAATCTCTTCTTCTTTTACCTCACAGGGTGTCTGTTGTGGGGAGGGGAAGGGGAAGGAGTTTGTGAGCCGCTCTGAGACTCCCTTGGGTAGTGAAGGGCGGGGTATAAATCCAATCTCTTCATCTTTTACCTCACAGGGTGTCTGTTGTGGGGAGGGGAAGAGGAAGGCGTTTGTAAGCCGCTCTGAGACTCCCTTGGGTAGTGAAGGGCGGGGTATAAATCCAATCTCTTCATCTTTTACCTCACAGGGTGTCTGCTGTGGGGAGGGGAAGGGAAAGGAGTTTGTAAGCCACTCTGAGACTCCCTTGGGTAGTGAAGGGCGGGGTATAAATCCAATATCTTCTTCTTTGTGAGGAGCGGCGGCTCCCTTCTTCCTTGTGTGGCTG